AGGGCGTTTCTGATGAAAGGCTTGATTTAAACGTTCCAGTTGGCGATTATAGATCTCTGAATTGATAGTTCGCTGTGGATTAAGGAGTTCGAAATGAGTTACTCCTTTGATGTCCCACCAAATGCACAGAATCACTTTCTGCGGATAGAATCAAGGTTTTGGGGTCGGAATTGGTTTTTGTTTAGGACTGAGTCATTGTTTTTGGCATTTAATAGTCGCATAGAGAATCCATTTTTCATCACGGGTGACAATTCTGTCCAAAAATGGTTCACGCGCATTACGCACCAGAAGAGACGAAAGAACGTTCACATGTTGGAAACGATGATCATCGGAGAGTTCGTGAGGCACCCAAACATCTTTGTGGAGTTTTCCCATATTCCTTAAACATTTACATATTGTTTCATGAGAGACATGCAATTTCAGGGCCATTTCATAAGTGTGTTGCCTTGAGTTAGACTCAAAAAGCATCTTCAGAATATCAATTCCAAAATGTCAGCCCCTGCCATCATAATTTTTAAGGCTAAAGTCACCTGAACGAGATTTGCTGAACCATTGTTGACACTTATGAACATTCAAAACATTTCCATAAACGTCTTTAATATTCTTTGTGGCTACAAAGGTGTTGTTTCCCTTCTTGTATTCAAACAGCATTACATGCCGAATGTGTGTCATCACTATAAAGGGTTTAGAGTATACTAAACTTTACACAAATGTGACGTTTAAGCAGTTCATTTAATTATTATATATGATGTACGTTTTTTTTGGGGGGGGGTAATGAAACTGTTCCAAAATGCGAAATTAATTTCTTCACGACCTAATACTATTTTTACAGCAAAAGTGTTTTAAAAACCCAGAACTGTAAACAAAATTCTGTTCGTCCAGTAGTGTCAGAAACCCCCCAAACAATTTTTATATGGGTATATTTCAAGAATGGATTCCTGGAAGCTGGATCATCAAACTGAGATTTGATCAATCCTTCCAGATTAAGACTATTCACCATTAGTTAACATGTGAGATTGATTAAAACCTATTCCTACTGATCAGTTTTATGTTGCACATGTTCATCAAAAAGAACATCTGTTACAGTTGGCTTGCTCTTTTTCTCTGTGCATCTATCATCTGGCAGGGGTTGGATACAAACTGCTTTCTATCCAGTTGCCTTTTGCAACTATAAGCAAAGACAATGCCATGCATAACAATTACTTGGGTTCATGCTTCGAATAGTAAAATAGTCAACTGAGTACGATATGGGAACATAACACATTTGGGACGACGGTTGCCCATTGACCTAACGTTGACTTATTTTTAGATTCCAGATAATTCTTTAGCATTGTCTCACCTGTTTTTAAGAGTATTGTCATTTCTAAATATTTCACTACATGATACTGATATTATTGGTTGTTGTGTTTCTTAATGCAGTAATTCATAAACTCCACAGCTTTTGTGAAACTTGCATTTTTTTGTTTGATATACAGGGTTTCCTTAACTTATTGAACCACACCAAACAAAAATTGGTGGTTTATGGCATGTGGGAGACTAATATCTGAAGTATGGTTTAAAAGGAGATATTTAAAATAAAATGTTTATGAAGATGTCAGATATGGCAATGTTATAAGCCTGAATTATCAATGCAATTGCAATAATTCCTCTGGAGATGCTGGCATTTATGGCTCTACACGGCCAGAGATTGATTATAGCCATAAATGGTGCCTGTGTCAAGGTGTACTAACAGTGCCACTAGCCTGGACAAATCTGAGATGTTAGCCTCTGCCTCATTATACCACAGTTGTCATATGTAGTTCTCAGTTCAACCAGTTAAGAAGGTGCTTCAATAAGTTAGGTAAACCCTGTATTTTGTCTAAATGTTGGTTTAAAATTGTATTTAACCTGAGACAGATACAGTACAATTGCTCCTGAAATTAAATGCATTTAGTTTTTGTTCATGAAACACCTTACTTAACCATGTTATTAATCCAAGAGAAAAATGTGAAAATTTATAGAAACTTTTCTTTCTCATGACTGTATGTGCTTGTTTAATATTAGTTTGCATTATTGATTGTTGTGGTAAAACTTGCTTAAACACCACAGTAGTCATCGACTAGTGCTACATTAGAATATTTATTTTTACAAATACACATACAAAAAATGTTCAAAATAAAACATCTCTCTCTCAATAGTGTAAAAAGAATAACTTATGGTACACTGAAAATTTAGCTCAAATGCATATTTTACCAACAACTTCAAAAAAATAATAATGCATAGAAAAAGAATTTAATAACTGTGTAATCATGCAAAAGTATTAAAAAATTGGTTTTACTAAATACCATACTTCCCTTTAAATACAATGATACTTACATGACAGTGAGAATAAGATTTTGCTTTACTGTTGTCAGATTTCTCTCTATAGCTAAAATCTTAAACACCTTGTAGTAATAATAATAATACAGAATCACCCCTTTCTCTTTTAATTCTTCAGTGGATCATAATGCTGGATGAAGGACATTTGCCAGTGTTTAAACAAATTATAAAAGCTATCAATCAAATAAACTTAAAGCACCATCCATTTTGTTGGGTAGCATAACAATGATACTTACATGGAAAGCTTCCTTGCTGTGTAAAATTAATAAGAGAACACACGTTTAAAAAAGTCCAAAATGGTCAAAGAATTTACATCACTTCCTCTAAACAAAAATGAGGTCCAATAATAATTTCTATATTTAACTTCATACATGTATTTAAATAGATTTGTATTTTGTGCAATATACTAACTACTTCCTATCATAAATATTCAACTTCCAAGTGTAAGAATGAGAAAAAAAGAACTCCAATATATAATTTTCTATTTAATTTCAAACATCACATGTGTTTTAGTAGTACATTGCTGACAATAAATCTAAGTAGTTCTTATCATCAAGTCTTCATTTATATGTGTAACAATACGAAAAAAAGTTTACTAATTTGCAAAAACTACTCTTTCACTGCTTTTTATTTATTTTGCTGAAAGAAAAGTTAAAGAATTTTTCTTAGTATGCATATGGCACACTACTATAGTGTTATACCTCAGAGATCTAAACTAACTTTGTAGAACAATACACATATAGATGATCTCAACTTACTTTATGAAGCATAATGTCTTGCTATGTACCTCTAGATAAACTTCTTCTTTGTATTCTGTGCTATCTTCAAGTATGCATTTAATATTTACCATGTTCAAGGACTTTAAATGTTTTATTCCATGTATAATCAAATCTATCCAAACTGTTGGAAGTCAGTTATTACAGTTATATGTAAAAATAGCTTTTCAAAGCATTGTATTGTTGTTTAACATACATTTTCACACTCCAAATTAAAGCTATTGACCAAGCTAATGCATTAATAAATGAAAAAAGTTTCCAAATTTTAAACTACTAATCCAGCTCCTTGAAATAGACTCCTATGCACTGAATGGAGTCTACCCAAGTTTTTTTTTATCCTTTCACATGTGTTCCCTTAAGTACAGATGATTACCTTAGCCAGTTTTGACTTTTCTACAAAGGTCTATGCCAGGGACAGGACTATACTAACTTTTTTTTTATGTGAAGCAGGTCAAAGTAGTCTTTCCTCATATTCAAAAACACATCTAGTTTACGTACTTCATTTTGCTCAATTTTCAAAAAATGAAAATTTTAACAGACTATATTTGTAATTTATTCAATTTTGGCTACTGACGAAACAAAAATGAAATTTAAAACTACTCATAAATTATTACTTTCTGTATACATGTATATCAACAGAAACATACAACCATTAGTCATTTTTCACGAGACAAAGTATTATATAAAGTTAACATATATAAATAACTTTTTATACGAATTAGTACAACATTTAAAAAATTAACAAAAACTGAAACTAATCACCATCCCAAAGCTAATTTTCATATCATAAATTTTACTACAATTAATCAGGAAAACAAAAGGTCAATACTTGGGCATAATAATAAACTTTCCTTTATATAAATTTATACTGATCATAAACTCTCAAGTTTACAACAAATAATAACAGAGTAAACAAAAATACTTGTCCTTGCAAAACTTAGTAACAAAATAGTATTACTGTCACTATATTAATATACTCAGAAAATTAACAAAAAGTGCCTATAGGAATTACCCTACTATCTGAGGATCACTGACTCATGACTGCAGCTTTCATTTAAAGCAAGCTTTACAAATATGAATTCACTTTACGTTTCTATCAGAACAACCAAATTTTTAGGGGAACATGAAGCAAAGCACTGAAATACTCTTACACTTTACAACGATGTGTATTTAACAGCTGATGATGAGAAAAAAGCTTCCTGCTGATAATAATTATGTTTGGGCTTCATCTTCATCATCTTCTACGAATTCCTCATCAGATTGACTTGAGTTACTTGACATATGTACATCGTGCACACTTTTTTCTTCTTGAAAATACAACCTGGAAATTTAATAAGAAACATCCTTAAAGACAAATACATTATCTGAATAAATGCAGGCAGTCAATACCTTACAGCCTGGAAATGTAATAAGAAACATCCTTAAAGACAAATACATTATCTGAATAAATGCAGGCAGTCAATACCTTACAGCCTGGAAATGTAATAAGAAACATCCTTAAAGACAAATACATTATCTGAATAAATGCAGGCAGTTAATACCTCATCTCAGATATTTAAGTTTTTAAAACAAGTAATGAGTTATTTTTAAAAAGTTCTTGCTGTCACACAAACCTTCAAGTTCTTACCACAGCTTTCATCGTTTCACAAGTGACTTTTTTAAAGGACTGGTGATTCTAGTTTTACAAAGCAGTGACATCTTATAACTTGCAGAGCCTAGACCAAGTGAAGTGTTTTGATTTTAGTGCTATATGGTATTAATTATAAGATGTTATAATAAAGTTAAATAAAACTGTACCAGTGGTGTAATTTTAGAAAGTTCATAACAGTAACAATAACCTTAACTCCGACAGTTTTTTTTTTTTATATTCTTAACAAATATATAAAATAAACTCACTGTGGTATCTGATATAAAGAAGAAAAAAAACTGCTTACAACAGATGATGCAGAGAGTTATTTAAATACCATGAAAGTCTAGCATGCTCTAAAGTTTTGTTTTTCACAGGTGGTCTATTACACTGTGTCAATTTCTCTAATAAAATGGTACCAAATGAAAAGTAATACTTACCCATGCAAAAATGATGTTGTAAGAATAATAAAAGGATTAAGATAAATAATAACAGGTTTTAAAAACAATGCAACAAATCTTTGTAATTTGGAATCTACTAGATGATCTGTATAGAGTTTAAAATATCAAACAAGTCTGATACTAAACACTGCTATAATTGTTTGTGTGCTAGCTTTTAATTTACTGAATCCTAATGATAAACTTAGTAACATAATAAATATTATGTTACAATAACAAACCTTAAAACATATATTAAAGTTCACATACCTATTATTTCCAAGAAGAAATGAATCTATGATTAAATTCACAGAACTCCAGCCAGGTGCCTTGGATATACCTGTCCACAACTTACCCAAAGCCTGGCAAAACTTTATTCCCATCTCTTCCAAATGGTTAGCATTTAGGTGATAACCCTAAGTAGAAACACCTCATTAGAAATAATATATATAAAATACAAACAAATCTCTCCCATAATATCTACTGGAGGTTGAATAATATTACATAACAAAGTAAACTGGTCAGATCCAAACAAAGAACCAATTTTGTGTAGAATTTTTCCTACTTGTAAGTATAAGGTATGAAATGTACAGAACATCTTAGAATAAATTTTTTAACTATTATCATGTTAAATGCATCTATATGTGCATTTACACCAGACTTAATGCAAGTATTACATGTTATAATTGTTATATGAAATCTATAAATGCAATAGATGATATTGTACATTAAAATATAAACATATCCCTTCCCAGCCCTCTAAAGTGCATAACAAAAAAGCACTAAAAATACAAAGGTATCTATTATACCATATGTTTCAAAGGTAGAAGACTAGAATAGGATACCTGCTATACAACAAAGACTTCTACAAATGTGAAGAAGTATCAATAGTCAAATCGATTCATATAAAATATGTGAAGCCAACCTTTAAAAACTCAAGAGGCAGAAAAATAAAATGCAGCTGATGAAGAAACACAAATTTTAGTAAGAGTAGAAAATACTGCTATTTCTACAGGTGTTCTACCTTTAGCTATAAAACTGTTTACCAATCACGTAGTTGATAGGACATGTCCTCTTCATGTGACATTTGTATAAAAAAAGAAAACCATGCAAAGAAATGTAATGAAAAAATTAAAAACATTTAAAGACTCACTACACTTCTGAGGAACCACATAGAAATCACATGACACCAGGTGATCTCACCTTCTTCTAGAACATGTTTTTCTATGGGATGCTTGAAACGTCTTTAGATTATTTATCATCTACATCCAAGTTTTCGTTCTTTTGATGGGGTGGAGAGGTATCATACCCTTACATTATTTTGTGTCCTAAATATAATTCTTCACCACCACAACTAATTAAAAAAAAATAGTTCTATTCAACATTCCACACAAAATAAAACTTACAGCATATATACCCTGATCACAACCTCCATATGTGCATTCCATTGTGTAGCTCATGGCAACACCAAATTGTCTCCAAACTGTAACCCGACCTGTGCCTTCTCTATTTCTCTCAACAGCAAAGTTACAGTTCTCCAAATTAAAAGCAGGTGCCATGTGATGCAAGAGAACTGGAAGACTCTACACATAAAGAGGAAAAACGAGTAGTGTTTTTCACCAACATTCTGTTTTAAAAGTATCATTATTAAAATAAAATCTTCAATTATAAACATGCCCAGATATTTCACTAACAAATATGAAATATTATATAAAAAATGAACAGTTATTTAGTGAAAATAAAATTAACTCACAGTAAGCACCTAAATTAATTAACAGTTACATTTTTTTTTGCTGTCAAATGACTTAAGATATAAAAGTTAATTGCAATCTATGTGCATTCCTAAAGAATTAAAATTCATTATGAAAAAACAAGTCCAAGAAATAAGAATAAATATATGAAAAGAATATTTTCATCTATTTCTATTTTAATGTATTGAAATATAAATTTTAGTATAGTCCTTTTTCGTATCTTCATACATGAACAGTGTTTTTTTTTTTATCACAGAAGATTCACAATTATAATAATGAAATATTCTTTTCTGCAGTTTGGTATATTTTTTGCTATAAATTACCTCTATTTGTAAAAGTGTTCTAATTGAGATTTTATTTTTTGATTTAAGTTATATGTAAGATTTTGTCATCTACAACATTATGACAAAATTTGCAGTGATTATCGAAACTACACCAACTGATGAGTATGACTACATGAAACTACCTCATAAGAATGATTGTCTGGTTTTTCTCTGTCACAAGACCACCAAGATTGGGAAGGACTACAACCATACAGAAACACATTTTTTCTTCGGGAATGACCATGGTAATCACAGTATAACTGAAAGTAAAAAAAACAATAACAATACATTAACTTTCAAAAATTCTTAAGATAATAAAAATTAAACAGTTATTAGTAATGGCAATACAACTTTTGTATTAATAAAATATGTTGAAAACATTTGTATTTATGGCAAAGCTACTAAGGTTATCTCCTGTCATCTCTAATTTTGAACTACTGACCAAATAGAAGGCTGTTGCACCATACCACCCATCATACCTGACTAAGAGATTGACTGCCACTCTTAAAATGCACCCATAGCTTAAAGCAAGGACAATATTTGGTGGTATCACATGAATTCTCTCGCAAGTCACCAACTCCAAAATTCAGTGCACTACCACAAGGAATATGTTGAAATGCCTTAACATGAGACACATTATTACAAATAATTATGGACACAATGACCAAAGAGGGTATAAAAGGTAAATACAACTCTGTGAAAATGAAATGCACCAAAGTACAGTCAAATGTTAATGGTTTACACTGTAATTAATTGTCATCCAACCAATCAGAAAGTGCTACATCAGTATAAAGCCTATAAATGCACAAGCATTCATAACATGTCCATTAGTAGTAATGGGAATCCAATATAGTTCCCAAGAATGAAATACCGTATGACAAGATTTTGCTAGTCAAAAATATTATAACCAAAAATTGCAGCAAGAACTCCATGTTTCGTTAGAAGCTGTATGCAAGACTCTAAAGATGATTCATGAAATTGGCACTGTTAACTCTTTCAACCCAGGCTCGGTCCCTGGGATTGACCTTGTAACCATTTTGTGCTTTTATAGTTTTCATGCTATAACTTTTAAATTAGTAAGCTAATGTTAACGAAATTTGGTAGTTT